ATCATGCAGCCACTACTGCAGCCACACGACATCATATGTTATTCATAATGAGCAATAGAAAACAAATAGTCTACTGTTGCCTTTTCAGCAGATCTGAGTGTTGGGGTAAAATCCCAAATAATAACATTGGATCTGGTGTCAAAATATTGCATGTAATCAAAGTAGAGAGAGAGAGAGAGAGTAATGAGGAAATCATCTGCCCCACAGGTAGGGGGAGAGTGTGGGATGGGGTATACTTTGTTTTTTGGTGGCGGAGAATGGGCACTGGTGAAGGTACGGGTGTTTCATTGTATGACCGAGACTTAACCCAAAAAGCTTTGTAACTGCTCTCACAGTGATTCAATAAATAAAATTATAAAAAATATAAAAAAAAAGAAATGTTATAGGCAGAAATAATTAAAAAATGGATACCCCTTGTCTTACTTCCACTGCCAAGAATTGTGGCTAATTTAATATAAAATGTTCTCAGTACTTCAAGAATCTTATATCTGTTTAGGTTGCTTAGGGCTGGAACAATAAACAAGGGAAGGTATTTGGCTTGCATTTGGCTGAGCTGGGTTCCATCCCCGGCATCCTATATGTTCCCCTGAGCCAGGAGTAATTCCTGAGTGCAGAGCCAGGAGTAAGCTTTGAACATTGCTGGGTGTGACCCAAAAAGAAAAAAAAAACGTTGCATTATTCAGGACTTTTCTGTGCCTCTGACTTTTTTTTGTCTTTTTAAAAATAATTTTATTTATTGAATCACCGTGAGAGCAGTTACAAAGCTTTTGGGTTTAAGTCTCGGTCATACATGAAACACCTGTCCCTTCAGTAGTGCCCATTTTCCATCACCAAAACCCCCAGTATACCTCCCATTCCACACCTTCCCCCTACCTGTTGGGCAGATGATTTCCACATTACTCTCTCTCTACTTTGATCACATTCAATATTTTGACACCAGAGCCACCATTATTATTTGGGATTTTACCACAACACTCAGATCTGTTGAAAAGGCAACAGTAGACAATTTGATTTCTATTGCTGGCTATAAATAACATATGATTTTGAAATTCCGAAATTTTAACAATTAAATCTGGAGGGATTTCTGCCAAAACCTGCTGGGTTCCGAGATTTGTTCCCGAGTCTCTGGGATCATGGCCATTAAGTAGCTTGATCAGGAGCCAGAGAGGCCATTCAAGGGCGACGACTCAGGGTCTGGTTGGGGCTGGGTGGAAAGGGCCGGCTCCACCCCCATCCTGTGTCTCGTCACTGTGGGCCCAAATCTGACTGTCCTATGGTTTCTGGAGGATGATGGCCACTGATCCGCCAAGGGGAAGTAAACACCCTTCCCCCCCTGGTGACAGTAACCTACTGCGGGGTCCAGACACATTTCTGCCAAAAGCCGCTGGGTTTCGAGATTTGTTTTGAGTCTCTGGGATCATGACCGTTAAGCATTTTGATCAGGAACCAGAGAGGCCATAACTCCAATTATATAGCTGAGCCAGAAGTGGTTTGTGAATGTGTCTCCCACATAACTAACTTTTGGCAGTTTACTTTCTTGGTAAACTTTGCCCCAAGTTTTTGGAGTCTGGCGAAAGGCACAACAGCAATTTTGGGGCATCTGGAAGTCTGAAGGCACCATCAGGCTGCTGATGCACTCGCTGCATAAGCACAAATTGACCTGTTGGCGGCACCATACCCCCAGCCTCCGACTCTTAAGGCAGCTCCTGGCACTGCCAGGTATTATAATGCCTGGGGTCACTTTTCAGTAACAGAAAATAAGTGAGTGTTTTGATGACTAAGGAAGTCCTTCTCTGACTTCTGGAGCAATAGCAAAGCTGATAGGGCGTTTGCCTTGCATGCGGCCGATCTGGGTTCGATTCTCAGAATCTCAGATGGTCTCTTGAGCACCGCCAGGAGTAATTCCTGAGTGCAGAGTAACCTCTGTGCAACGCCGGGTGTTACCCAAAAAAGAAAAACAAAAACAAAAAAGTCCTTCTCTATTGACTCTCTACTCTCAAAATGGCCCGACAAAAACACTTGTTGTTCTGCAAATAAAGAAATTGCCTTCCAGCTCCAGTAATTCACCCTGATGTTTTGCTCCTTCATTTAGCTCAGTGGAACCCAAATCCCACAAGCTTAAGAGAGGCTCATCTTTATGATGAACCTTTGGGAAAGGTGTTTTGCTCCCTCCTGACGTGTTCATAGGAAGAGAACTTAAACTCCTCGAAATCAGATGCATGTTCTCACAGGTTCACGTAGTACTTCCTTCTCCACTCAGTAAATTTCATAACCCAAATCAACTCTTTCCCATTGTCCTAAAACATTTTCTGAAATCAGCTTCATCAACTCTTTCCCAGTCCTTTCATTCCTTTAATAAGAGCTGATAGCCTAACTATCTCTTCTTGTGTGGCGATTTTACCTTCAGCCCACTTTATATAAGACAAACCAACAAAATTAAACCATGACACATTTGAGCTATTTTCGATACTATCATCATCTATCTAACTAAATTCAAAGACAATTCAATTTCTGTCCCCCAAGAACTTTCTAGGAAGCTGTTGTCAAGAAAATGAGCTCTTCTTTAGGCAATGCTCTCTCAGCCACACCCAAAAAAGTCTTCCTTCATTTAGAACTCTTGGGTAATGCAAAGAATATTAGCACAGAGGGTAGGGCATTTGCCTTGCACATGGCCGACCTGGGATCAATTCCTCTGTCCCTCTCAGAGAGCCCGGCAAGCTACTGAGAGTATCCCGCCCACACCGCAGAGCCTGGCAAGCTCCTCGGGGAGTATTGGATATGCCAAAAACAGAAACAAGTCGCACAATGGAGACATTACTGGTGTAATGTCACTCAAGCAAAAGGATGAACAACAGGAGGACAGTGCAACAGTGCTACAGTACTCTCATAGTATAATAATAGATTCTAGAGATAATATATCTAAAACCTACCTATCTATTTTGCCAGATATAGGTATTGAGCTGTATTGAATCAGTCCTTCATTTTTTTGCAGTTTGCTTCTTTAACAGCTGGAGCCTTGCTGACTCTAGAGGAAGTGACATACTCAGTGCTACTTAATCCTTAGAGAGAGTAAACAACTTGCCCTCCAGCTCAGAAATCACCAGCAATACACACCCACCTCAGACAACAACTCTCTCAGCATCCTACACTTAGGGCTATTAATTCCCCTGTCTTAATCATCAGAGATCCAAGTCGGAGCCAACTCGGGACAGTCCCTATGCCCCAGAGCCCAAGCAAAATTATTCAAATTAGTCCATCTTAAACCTGTTTATCCTGTCCTCCTGTTTCTTCCCAGAGGAATGGTAATAAAGGCTGTTGCCCATGTTTTCCCAGGAGCCTCTGCTTTCAAGGGCTTCTTATGTGGTCCTTGTGCCATGTCTTTTGGTCTGTTGGCCTTAATGTATGTGAATAATAGCAATATTTATATTAAAAAAGAAGACAGCATTTATACAAGGGAGGACACACTAACAAAAAGGAAAGCCTGGCCCCTGATTTCTGGTTATTATTCAAATGAACTTAGATTCAATGTTCTTTTAGCAATATTTAGCCAAACTGCCTATTACCTATTTTCTATGATTTTACTATTAAAATCTACATCACAGTGAAAAAGAAAAGTAGAAATGGCTGTGATAAGGGCATCCACAGAGGATACCTCATAGCACAGAGGGAGAGGTTCTGAGGAATCCTTGATTTCAAAATCACACATTGAATCTAATGGTAAAAGGTAAAGGTAAAGGCCCTCCTGTTGTTCGTGGATTTGCTCGAGTGGGCCCAGTAACGTCTCCATTGGAGACTTTGTTGTTACTGTGTCTGGCATATCGAATACGTCACGGGGAGCTTGCCAGGCTCTGCTGTGCGGGCGAGATACTCTCGGTAGCTTGCCGGGCTCTCCGAGAGGGGCGGAGGAATCGAACTTGGGTCGGCCATGTTGGCTGTGTGTAAGGCAAACGCCCTACCGCTGTGCTACCACTCCAGCCCAGAGTCTAATGGTAAAAACTATTTTTAAAGATGCTGGAACAATATACAGAAGGTAGGGTGTTTGCCTTGTATGTGGCCACCCCAAGTTCGATCGCTGGAATGCCATATGGTCTGTGAGCACTGCCAGGAGTTATCCTTTAGTACAGTGCACAGAGTAAGCCCTGAGCACCGCCAAGTATGGTCCCACAACAGATATTTATGAAGGGGGAAAACACTGTTCTCTACCAACAGAAAACGAGGTGTTTATTAAATGTGCTGGATTCAAATATATTCTATTCAAAGTGTATCAGAGGAGATTCTCTATGAAAGGCATACAGATGTATGAAGTATATATGTATGCAGTCTCACTCAAGGGCTTATGTCTGTCCTTCTAGAGTAAGAGTTACTCAAAGGCAGTTTGACTTGACTTCTTATGTTTAGCAGCTGGTGGTAGGCACTTATTTACTGAAGGAAGATGGGTTACTGGTCATTTCTGAATAACAGGTACAGTTGTAGACTTAGAAATTTTTGTGCTTGGGTTTCAGTTATACAATGATCAAGTACCCAACCCTCCACCAGTGCCCATTCTCCACCACCACTAATCCCAGTGTTCCTCCCACACCCATCCCCACATCCCACCCTGCCTCTGTGGCAGGGCATTCCCTTTTGTTCACTCTCTCCTTTTGGGTGCTGTGGTTTGCAAAAGAGAAATTGAGTGGCAATCATGTTTGGTAAGGCATGAAATAGGTGACCCATTTTAGAGTTGAAAGTTAAAGCTACTGCCTCTGACTCAAATCACTACAATCCCACTAACATTCTGTCTTCTCTCAGAGAGAAATTTAAGACCCTTATTTGGGGAGAGTGGGGGAGGCAGTTTCCTTGGCGTTTAACTGACCTCCAAATCCTGCCGAAATCTGTAATGCTCCAGCTTACGGCTAGCCTCCAGTACCATGTGTGGTGGGTCTGGGCAGTGCACTGTGATAACTAGTTAAAATCCTTGGGGCAATGTAACTTGGAGACCATCACTGCATGAGGACACTTACCAAGGGCTCTAGCTCCTTGCGGTCTATGAGATTCATCTCTGTGACAAAGTAATAGAAGTGTTTGTAGCAGGTGTTGACGTGGGCCTCTGCACCCATCACAATGACCCGGTCGAAGTGGTGGATGTAGACATGGACAAAGACCCGGAAAAGGCGACAAAGGATCTTCTTGCAGATCTGAAGGAAGTTCTTTGGGAAGGGAACACCTAAGGAAGAAGGGAGAGAGGAAATCAAATCATCATGGTAAAGCTTTGGCGGCCTTGGAGCAGGTGTATGAGGCTAGTGAATGCTCCAGAACCTGAACTTTCCAGCAAATCTGCAGATATCTAGGTCTGTGTGGGCAACTGTGTCACAATGATAAAGTGGCTAAAGGGGTGAACTTAAATGCCAACCATGGCCAGAGAAAGAGAGGAAGAAATGAATGAGGAAGTCCAAGCCTTTTCTCATCTATCTATCTGTCTGTCTGTCTATCTATCTATCTATCTATCTATCTATCTATCTATCTATCTAGGTTTTAGGGCCACACCCAGGGATGCTCAGGGTTTATTACTGACTCTGTGCTCTAAGATTACTCCTGGTGGGACTCAGGGGACCGTACATGGTGCCAGGGATCAAACCTGCATCGAGTACATGCAAGGAAAGTGCTCCTACCTGCTCTAGTGTCTCTCCAGCCCAGCTCTTATTACTATTATTATTTTTTTGGTGCAGTTGTAAGGTAAAGGTAAAGGCCCTCCCGTTGATCGTCGATTTGCTCGAGCGGGCCCAGTAACGTCTCCATTGGAGACTTTGTTGTTACTGTATCTGGCATATCGAATACTCTCGGTAGCTTGCCGGGGGTGCAGTTGAATATGCAGAAATATTTTTTATATATATTAGTATATATATATATATATACTATATGTATATATATATATATTAGTATATATATATATATATATATACTCTTGGGCTGATGTGAGAGTAGTGATTGTAGATCACTTGCTCTGCTTTTCAAAGTCCTGGGTTCAATCACTGGCACCTTCTCAAAATAAAATAAGTGGTACCTTCTAATGTCACTTTGATTTTTCATCTACAAAGAGAAAAAACTGGGGTCCTAATAAGACTTCCTTGCATTATCACAGGTCTTAACACTAGTAAAATCCTTAGAATAGTAATCACTCACTAAGTAGAAATTATAATACCCCTTCTCTTATGAAGATAAGATTTGGAATACTTTACTGCTATAAGGAAAATAACCTTGAAAGGAAAGACAGACTAGGCCAGCAGATTTAAACAGAATTGCAGTGCCGTGCTCAGAATAGGCCTCTGGTTCTCAAGAAGCCAAAGCCTGGTATTCTGCTTCTGCAGGCTCCCAGTGGCAGCTATCTAGTGAGAGACACTTGTTACAGGATCCCCTGGTAATCCCTGGGACTCCAGGGAAGGAGGAGAAAGGGTGGCACCAAAGGCAGCTGGCACTGAGGCCAGATCTGCTTTCTCAGGGCTCATCAATGAAAAGGACTTTTTCCTTCACAAAGTGGCAACATATCAAATGAAGCAAGGGAGAGACCAGGATACAGCTTGCCAGCTGACAAGCAAGATATGCTGGATATTGGGGGTAAGTGTCAAGTAAATATGCAGAGACGGTGGCAGGCAGCCCTGCACATAGCTTATGGGCTATCTTCTCTGTTGAAAGCGGGGCAGGCGAGCACACAGCAGTGAAGAAAATTGGCCGGTAGGCTCCACAACTCCTGGAGAATTCTCCAGGCCCCATACTGAGTCGATATCACCGGGAGGTCCCAGATGGGGTAGGTGCTGTCTCCCCACCTTTTCCAGATGGAATCCTGGCGACCGTGAGCTTCTATAAGCATGGCTCCGGTATGCGGGTACCAGGACTATTCTTCTGAACCTCACGGCCGCTTAAGCGCGATGCTTCCTGATATGCAAAGTGACCAATTGAAAGTAAATGATCTAGCGTTTGTCCCAGAAAGACAGGCTTGAATGGTGGTGGGAAAATCTGAGCAAAATATAATGCCCAACCAAAATGCATCTGGACTGTGCATTTAACTACGGTGCTATGCCGCCCTGGGCAGGGAAGGGTGTTTGTCCCTTCACCTGTCCCCCCTTGCGGTGGTGGCATGGTGGCCTCCATCTTTTAGAGATGGTAATGAACAGCCAGGTATGAGATTGCATTGACGAGGCACGAGGGACCTCGTAGGATGGGGGGTTGAATCGGCCCTGCTCCCTGTCATGACAATGCCCTGGGTTGCCACCCACAAATGCCTCCTCTAACTCCTGAATGACCATGATCCCAGAGGCACACAAACCAATCTCAGAACCCAGGGGCTTTTGGCAGTAATCCCTCTATGCTTATTACTAAAATATCAGAAATCCAAATTCACATGACCGTTATTGTGGCCACACAACACCATATGCTCTTCATAATCATTAATAGAAAACAAATTATCTAATGATATCTTTTTGGCAGGTCTGAATGTTGGGGAAAATTCCAAATAATAATATTGGGTCTTTTGTCATAATATTGATTGTGATCAATGTAGAGGGAGAGAGAGAGAGAGAGTAAAGTGGAAATCTTCCACACAGGTGGGGGTGGGCAGAAAGGGGGGTATACTGGGGTTCTTGGTGGTGGAAAATGTGCACTGGTGAAGGAACAGGTGTTTGATCATTGTATGACTGACCGAGACTTAAACTGAAGGGCTTTGTGACTGTTCTCACAGTGATTCAATAAAAAAAGGGGGGGGGCAAGCAAAACCACTGCCATAGCCTAGGAGAGGGGAGAGGGCAGCTTTTCTCAACTGACAACCTGACGGTTGTCCTTGTGGCCCCAATGATGAGGATAGAAGGCCACAGGAAGAAAACAAGTTGGAAGGGGACCACCCTCTGGAGATGCTGCAATGATGAGGTCTGGTAACAGTTTCAAATGTAAATGAGGGGTGCTATTTGTTTGCTTTAAAAAGGTAGATTTCAGAGGGAGAGGGCTTTGGATGCTGGATGTTGAGTAGTTTTTCTTTTTCTTTTTTTCTTAAAGGGGGCAGTCTGCCAAATAAGTTTGGGAAGTTCTGGTTTAGCTTTTAAAGAAACCTTAAGTGATGGAATGTCTTCAATAGAGAAGTGGTTCTTTTATTATTTATTTATTGGTTTGGGGGCCACACCCAGCTGGGCACAGGTTCTTTGCACAAGGGGTCACTCCTGGCAGGGCTTGAGGGACCATATGTGATGCCAGGGATTGAATCCATATATGCCACATCAAGGCAAGTGCCTCATCCACTGTACTGTCTCTCCAGTCCCAGTGGTGGTCCCTTTAGAAGGGGAATCCTGTAACTCATCTAGTGACAATGCCAGAGCTGATGTATGTTACATCTATAAACTTTCTGGAAAGAAGTTTTGACTTGGGTTTGGAGCGATAGCACAGCGGCAGGGCGTTTGCCTTGCACGCAGCCAACATGGCCGACCCGAGTTCGATTCCTCCGCCCCTCTCGGAGAGCCCGGCAAGCTACCGAGAGTATCTCGCCCGCTCGGCAGAGCCTGGCAAGCTCCCCATGATGTATTCAATATGCCAAACACAGTAACAACAAAGTCTCCAATGGAGACGTTACTGGGCCTGCTCGAGCAAATCGATAATCAATGGGAGGGCCTAAGTCAAAAACCAATGATAGAAAGGCTCTGAAGCAAGGTGAAACACAATTAATTGTGCCAGGTTACTGAGTTAAAAGTTGCAGTTCTGGGATAGGGATCAAAATATGCATGGTTCTCAAATCCAAAAGACCAGGTTATATTTGGAGTGTGACTCTCTCTCTCAATAATAGATGCACAATTGGAATGCTAAACACAATGAAGTATCTAGAGGATATTCTTCCATGGCACTGAAATCTAATTTATAACAGGAAACAGGGAGGACAAAGAAGAGTGAAAATGTCCATATCCTGCAGGAATCACAGATCCAAGATGATAAGAAGTCAGCCTTTAGGTTTGTTTCTTCCCAGAAAAAATGTATTTCTCTGCCCATGACTGAGGACTGTGGGCATGGGTCTTAGAGCAAAAGCCTGTATTTACTTTGCACTTACTGTGTTCTAGTGATGGTGTCAGGTACTTTACATGGATTAGGTGTCTGTTCTCAGAATAACCTTGATTAGATACTATTATCAATTCCACTTCACTGATGAGGAAACAGACTCAGTAAAATGTAGTTGCTGCCTAAGATCTCCCAGCTGGCAAAGAGTAGAAGAAAAAAAGGGACTGGACCAGCTCCGTCTAATTCCCAAGACCTTAGTACCTACCTATACCACCCTGGAGTTCTAAGTGGATGGTCTGGGGTTATACACATCCCTTCAGCTCTGTGACCCTTCTGGATGCGGGCTGGAAGGAGGGCTGAACACCTTCATGTGTGCTTACCTTTATCTTTTCCCAGTTCCAACCTCAGGGAGCTCACCAGCTAAGGGACATGGGGGTTTCAGCAGTGTCAGTTCACTTGCTTGACCTTTCAAGTCAGCCCCACAACCCACACTACCTTTAGGCAAGTCAAAATCTAGAGCACATAGGATTGTTCAGTTTCCAGATTCCTCAGATGGTCCTCAAGCTTCACTCCCACACTCACCCTTGTCATCAACTCAGCTCTTGGCTCTGCCCTTCATTCCAGACCTGATTTCAGGCCTTGTCTCTGGCCTAGTTTGCCTCTTGCTTTTTCCCTCTTGTTTTATGACTCGAAAATTTCTTTAGAGTAGTTAAAAATAGTTGGTTTTAGAGTATGGGAGATTGCATTTAAAAAATATATCTTATCTACCTCTACCATTTACTCCCCATACTTGCAAAATATTTCATCACTCTATTTTATGATTAAGTAGGGAAAAAAAGAAAACCACAAATAGGTACTCTGTGCCTTTTGTAATGTCTCACATGGAATGGGAACTTTGGATCCAGGTTCTTATTTTACTATTTCACACCTAGACTGTTTAGGTAAAAAGGACCTGAGACTCTCTAAATTGAGTCTGATTCAGAATCTCTATGGAATTGGACCTGGCATTTATACCATTTCCTCATCTACTTGTCATTTACTTTAAAAAGGTAAAAATGGCAAATGGTTTAAGTCAGGACAAGTTCTCTGTTGACTGCAGACCAATTCTGGAAGTTGGGAAAAGGTTGGAAGTTCGAGTGAGCCAAGAACTGAAGCAGGTTCTCTGCTAAGCCAGAGATAAAACCATAACACACAGTG